TTGGAGCCCATTTTATCAGACGCTCATTTTTGCATAACTTACGAAAAACTTAATTATTGCAAAATTGCAAACAGTATTATAAAAATTGCTTATACTATTATATCTGATAGAAGACTTTTTTACTTTGTATTTATGTTTTTGAAGTTGTATTTTTACCTTTTGTTTAAGAAATATTGCTAAAAACAAAGTGGTATGTCGGTATCGGTGACCTTTCTCTACATATATACTATAATTATGGTTATTACTGTTAAGATATTTAACAATAAATATGGCTAGGCAATAAAGTAACTACAAATTATATTCACTCAAAAAAAGATAATCTAATTGTAAAGTGAAATTTCCGGTAACCTCATATTCTAAGCAGAAACTTTTACAGAAAGAGTATTCCTCTTCCAATGCACTGGACTATTCATCAACAATGTATTGGAGATTATTCTAACAGTTTTCCTCTTGTATGAAGAGGAATATATTTACTGAAAGCGGAGTGTCCTCTTACGAGTAAATTATATTAGAAATATAGCAGGATTTTTTTTTTTACTGCAGATGCAAAACGAAAGTACTCTAACTGTAAGAATATTGTGCTTAGCATATTTTCCTCTTGATTTCAGAAGATTTCTCTTGAGGCCGTATATAAGAATAAAATCCTCTAAGATTTAGCGGTTTCTGCTAATATTAAAATTATTTTTTTTTGGGTGTTAAATTATAGCAATCATTTTTATGTAATAATAACTATAATTTGTGAAATAATTTTCAGTACCAACTATATGTATATATATATATATACACTCGTATTTGTTGATAGAATTTACACATAGTTATTATTAATAATATTATAGCAGTAATAACCATAATTCTAATAACGTGTATTATAATCATAAATAACACAAACTATAATCGCAAATACCAAAAACTTTTGCTCTCAGTGTGCTTATTTGATTTAAAGGAACTTGAGTACGGGAATGATTAGATCTCTTGTGCGTGCGACGACAATTCGAGTATCTTATTTGCATTACTAAATCTGAACTTATTTGCATTGCAACCGATTACAAATGTGTGCACATACGTATGCGTGCGCATATAATGTCGTAGATTATAACTGAATGGTACGAGCGCTAACTACGCGACAGGTCGTATTCGGCATCTAATCTCATAGCTCATAGTTGCCTAATCTCGCTGTTGTCGCTGCCGGTAAACGCGAACTGCAATAAAACTTATCCCGTTGCAGCCACACGGCCATAATGGTCGTTACGCTCTCGGTGTATCAAACTTCCTAAAGCAATGCAGCGTGATCGCGTGAGCACGATTATTTCTCCAGAAAATAGCGGAGCTTTCATCGCTCCTATAAAGATGTTTATTGCCGAATATAGAGGAGAGAGAGGGAAGGGAATAGGAAGTCTTTTACGAGAGGAAAAGACCTGTTATGCTGTTATCGACTCTCCTGTAATTCGTATGGTTGAGATAATAAAGTTTTATTTATGTGCACAACAAATGCGTGGGCAAAAGTGTGCGAGAGCGAGATCGCGTGGGTGCGTGTGATCGAAAAACAAAAGCATGTAAGTTGCGTGACAGCCACAAAGCGGGTGCGCGCTGTGTAATATCACTTATCAGACATTTATCGCGAATATTTATGTCACTTAACAATCCAAAAGCAGCTCGTGTTTTTACACGGGAGATCAAATCACACGTCCAACGTCCGGACGGAAACTTTTTATTCGCGCGGTGTCGGCGAAATTTATTTTGCCCCGACGTCGGCGCTGACATTTGTATTTATATATCATCGCGCTCTTTCGGCGATGCAATAACGACCCGTAAAAATAACGGTAGCGGAACGAAATTCGCGAATGGCCGCGTTAAACATCCTTGACAGAAAAACGTGCTCGATTGGAAATTCCATAGCCATTAATGGCTTAAAAGAACCGTATGTTTCTATCTCGTTCGACGCAATAATGGCTGGCGTTACAAGCCGCCCCGTATCGTATACCAGGTCTAACGAGTTTACCATGGAATACCTGCTACAATTTACAAAAGTTTTTCCCGCCGGGTAAACTGTAACGACGCACTGCGATGCTCGTGAATTTATCGAGCACCTGTTCTCTGACTGGTACTCGTAGCTCGTCTTCCAAACTCGCTATAAATCTCTTTACAGTTAGTATACGCGTTTGTCGCAGATCACGTCGTCTGACTCTGATCATGCGCCACTACGTGTCTCCGCGTAAGGAAATACGCTCGTTGTTTCTCCCTTATCCTTGCGAAGTCCCTTTAAATCTATCAACTGGCATGCTACTGAAAATTCTAAACACGAACACGCTTCCTACGCCAGAAGGACGAAGGTCCCTTGTATACCGGCATTATCGGCGAGGCGTTCATGTGTTTCGGCACGTAGGATGCTTAGCCCTCGGAATGCTATCTCATCGAGGACCTGTTAGATTCGTCGACGTTTCCAAGTAATTGCGTCCAAGCACTAACAAGCGATGCGCTCCGTAAGCGATACGGTCAATGAGAAATGCAGCTGCGTACGTAACTAAAGTCGACATTGAAGTCTATCGAACGTGAACGGTCTGGAAACGAAAGGAAATAAGAAACGATGAGTATTATTTAAGGATAGCGGTAACGCAATAAGAATAGATTGCGCATTCCCTGAAAGTTGTCTTTGGCTTATAATTTGAAAGCGTGAGACAGTTGAATTAGAGTTTCTATAATAAGAGTTAAGATAAACTGTCATGTACAGTCAAGTTAATTCTCCTATAATAAGCTCTTAAAGCATTCACTTTAAAATTAAATTCAGTATAAATTCGGGATAAATTCGAGATAAATTCAAGATCTATGCAGACTAGTTATAGTTACCAACTGAAAATGGACATGTAGCATTGAATACTGAAATTATATATAGTTAAAAGTGAATTCGGAAAGACGCTATTAGCGCTATTTGTATTATTTTAGCTTCATAATTTATTAGGCATAATACAAGATTGGCACAAAAAGCATTAATATTAACTCCCTGAAAGTAACATCTAATCTAATCTTCAGAAAGGTTATATGTCGATATTCATCAATGTACATCGATAGAGTAGGATATCAATAGATTTTACATTTACAAGTCATTCTTGCAAAAGCAATAAAAGAATTTTTTTTAATGACAAAACGATACCGTTCCTAAAAAATTGTTAGTACTGATTTTATTATATTTAGGTTGGATACTACTGATATCAATATTTAGTCTTATATTCTCTATATTGTATACTAAAAGAACTGCCGAGTGCGGATTAAAAATTTGTGAAAGTTTTTAACGAAACTAATCGACTTTTGTGCTTACACTAAATATTTTCTGACTATACATATATTCAGTTATTGCGTTATTACTGGCCGAATAGAACCTAATGAAGGGGATCAGGTGCTATTATACTAGCGTATAATGGTACTGTCTCGATATACTATAATATTAACGTATACATATATAATGCCTTTGTGCTAACTATTCATCTATTTTTAAATATTTTATATTTAAAAATTGGCGTTTATCTTAGCTATGGTGGATTTAGACAATCAAGACTCGTTAAAAATTGTTATTTGTTTAACTTTCGTTATAGAAATTCTCTCTCTCTCTCTCTCTCTCTCCCTCCCCCGCTCCCTCTCTTTCTCCCTCCCTCTCTCTCTCTCCATCCCTCTCACTAAAACTATCGAGTTGAAGAGAGATACTGATATGTTCAATTATTTCTAACGGAGCACAGGTGTTAAGTTCAGGGAATGCACAGTCTATGCCCATTACGTCCATAGGTAACGATCATTGCCGAAGTGAGAAGGAACCGCGAATTAATTAACGCAGGACATCTCGTAGTGGAAGTGGTCGAGGTTCGTGGTCAGATAAAACTCTAATTTAAGTGGACGGTCGAAATGTGGATCCCGGAAGGCATCTCTGCATAAAAGGCAGTTAAAACCAAGTGGCTCTGCTATCTATTCAGCCAAACCCTTCTCCCACTTTCGTCTTCCGAGCGACTTTATTCAAGACCTCAGCGAAGATTCGTGATGCAACATTCGTAAAAGGGGTAAGAAGTGGCGGAAACGTGTGCCTCCTTTCGCTCGACGAACCCAAATGGAAGAAAGCCACGCTACGGAGAACGAATAAGGGTGGGACGTAACAGCGGCGGACGGAAGGCACGCAGAAAAGAGTAGAAAAAGTCCAAAAGTACTCGACGTCGGTAGCGGAGTTTGCGTAAAGGGGTTTAGGTAAATTGAAAATGGAATTAAATTCCCTGGGCGCTGCTCGAGAGAGGATACACACGGTATGCCTGGGAAGTCGAGAGAGGAAAGATGTACTCGTTGTTTCTTTTTTTTCTTTTTTTTCTTCTCTTTTTTGCCCCCTTTCTTTTTTTTGCTCCCTTTCTATTTTTGCCACCTACCCCGTCACCCACTCACGCCTTCTTCACTCTCTCGTTACGCCTCCGTGTCGTTTCTGTCCGTTCCATCTTTTGGAAGTCATCCACGAACGCGCGATGCGAGTAAGGTACACAACGAGCTTACCCGGTGTAAATGGGCGTGCGACGGGTGAAGTGCCGTGTTCTTCCTCTGGTAAATATGCTCACATAAATATACATATGTGCTTTCAGCGACGAAATATGCACGTAACTTACGGCGACGCAAAGATAGAACTGCGTGTGAAGGGAAAATATTGAAGAAATCGACATAACGTGTCGCACCGCTGCAGTCGCTTGAACGGCGTTAAATCGCGATACCCCCGCCGACACAGAAGAAAATTGCATTGTCGTGTTTACCTGACATAAAACTAAAATTAAGTATACATGCTCGACGTTACATTTTCGCAAATTACGTAAAATTCACGTTAAGTATACATGCTCGACGATACATCATTCTAAAAATCGTAAGTGGCCAACACTTTGAATTAACACTTAGTATTAACGTATGATTTTCCTGCGCTCCGCCTAAATATTCATCGAGTAATAAACTCTTGGCTTAAAATGTCAGCATTAAGAAAATCGATGATAGTAGATCCAACATCACGATTAAGCTGTGGTCCTTGCTATATTATGCAAGGTATCGATCCGCTAAAACCCGTTGAGTAACGATCAATCAAACGGATACGAACCTGACTTACAGCTATAGAAGATACAACACGTTTCCCGTGGCAAATCCTCTAGCAATGTTGAACCCGAGTCCATAATTGAATGCCATATACAGTGACAAGAGATTTCACAGTGAATATTCGGACAGACAATGTGTTTCGCACTTCGCATAGATAGCACAATCCTTTTTCTATGATATTTCAAGATGATATATTTTATTCTACTTTTTTCTCTTATAGAAACCATAGATGTAATAAGAATAGTCTGCACATTCCTATGAAGTTATCACTATCGATTTCGAACAGAGAAAGAACAATTTTGCTGAAGCATTAAAAAATTTGAGTAGATACACAGATTTTAAAATAATTTTGTTAGATTATCAAAATAATTACGTAGAAATCTCAAACATACTCTGTTATCAAAAGAACAATATGTGTGGTAATCTAACTTCTTGAGTTAAATAATATTTTGTTATGTTTAACTTCCATTTATGTCGAAATGTAAATCAATCCATTTAATTTTCATCGCTAGTTTCAAAGTAAACATCAATCATATTAACATGCTCACCCAACGAATAATAAATTAAATTTGTGTTAAATTTGATACATTTTCTTGAGTTAAATTCTATTGTAGCCAAATTAATGCAATATGGCTGGAGCAGTGAAGAATCTATACTATCTCTCTATAAAAATAATTAAACAAAAATAATTCAAATTAAGGACAACTTGACATTATGAATTTAACAATGTAATAAACAATGCTATAAAAAGGTCTGACATTCTCTAGCAATATTTTAAACATTGAATATAATTATTTCAATGGTCAATCGACAAAATTACTTTTAGATCTGTAGATAGTTAAATTTTTAAAAACATGAAAAAAATAATTTTGCTAGACACCGAACTGAAAATAATTTCGTTAGTCCATCAAAATATTTGTGTAGAAAACTCAGGCATGATGAGCAATGTTGATATCCTAACAATCAACTTGAATATCTTACATAATTATTTTGATAGTCTAATAAAATTTCTTTTCGAATCTATATCTAGCTAAATTTTTTAATTATATTTTATATAACCTATAATATAACAATTTTTATAAAAATACATTTTTAGATTATTTTGAAATAGCTTCAGCAAGCCCGTTTTTCCTGTGAAAGAGTGAGACAGCTTGAATCATTTCTGCCCCCCTCCCTCTCCCTCCCCCTCCCCCCCTCTCTCTCAAGTATCAAAGAGAGATATATAATTTAATTCTTTCTAACAGAACACAAATACTAAGATCAGGAAATGCGCAATCTATACACCGTTAAATTCATAACGTGAAATTATATTCGATTTAAGTTCAATCATTTCTATAGATCACCACTACTCCTATATAATATGTCATTAATTTAACTTAAACAGTCGAGTTAAACAATCAAACTCGAGGGAATGTATTAAATGGATTTAAACTTAGTTTATTATTTATTAGTGCATATGTTCATATGGACGTTGTTTACTTCAAAACTAACCACAGAAATAGATTGATTTACATTTTGACACATATAGAGATTAAAAATAACACAATGTTATTTAACTAAAAGAGTTGAGTTACTACTATTCTTTTGATTGGTATCTAACAGTGTGCACCTATTACGTTTGTGGTGTGAACGAACGTGGCATGATTGTTTAAATGAGAGAACCTAAAAATTTATTCGTCACTGAGTACAGATAAAGACAGGGAGTGAGAAACAAACACACAACGGGTACTTCGTAGACAACTCGATAACGCGATTATTCAATAGGACTATGTAAATTTCGTTAATTGCCGTCTCTTCTCGAGAATTTCGGAAGGTAGTGACAGCCCGACTTCTCTCTGAGAAATTCCTGCTAATTCCGCAGGGACACAAAGCGCTTAAAATTAGTACGAAATGCAGCATGAATAATAATATTACGTGAATAAGAAGAAGACACCTTCGTTAAAGCAACATCATAACTAATAATGGTTTCATGTTTCATCACATTTTAACACTATTTTTACAATAATTGGATGACGAAGGAAGGCAAAGAATTCTTATTCAAAGCGCCAAGATACGCGGGATAAACTTTTCCGATAAAATGAACACCGAACTGAAAGACATACATGAGTATTGACACACCACTCTGACTGCGTTTATATTATGTCATGGTATATTACAAACATAATTAATCGAGAACCGCTCACAAAATGAGACAAAATAAAAGTTAAATGAATGTGTCGTATGTTAATCAATGTCACCGTTAACCGTCAAAGCGCATTAACGCGATTATATACAGTGCAATTTAACCGCGTCGTAATTCGTTTATAGAAATTGGATAACGTGCAAGCACGGAGCAAAACTTGTTCGGATTGGATTTTGTATTCCTCATTAAACAACTTGATCGACTATTATGCAGCAGCGCCATGCGAATGTTTTAAAATATAGAGATCACATTATTACTTCGAAAAATGTATTGCGTAAGTAAAAAATTAACCGCACAAATCGATGAGATTATTAGTATCCATAATAATCCTATGTTTTATTCATTCTTAACCTGCTAATTTTGTCGAGGTCAGTTAACTAATGTAATAATTCCAAATTTGATTCAATCAATTTCCAGGACTAATTATAGTTTATAAATTTTGAATAATTTTTAGTGTAAGAAAAAAATCTGCTTTCCATCAAGATTTGATAATATTGATAATTGAAAAATGTTATCAGAGGTACTGGATAAAAACATGCTAAGCGCGCCAATGATATAGTCTTTAACATGTGAAATTGATGCAAAATATAAAAAACATATAGACACAAAAATTACACACAACGCTTTTTTCTGATTTATTTTTTAATTTAAATAAAACTTCACCATATTGGAAAAAATGTTTTTTTTTATAAGGAATATAAAATAGCAAATAATTAAAATATATAAGGACTTTCAAATGTAAAATAATAATCAAAATCTAAAGAGAGGTTGTAAACGTCAAAACGCAATTAGTGGTACGCAAATCATTTAAAACAAAGTGTCTTTAATAAAACCTCATGAGTGCAATATGTGTGGTACCATAATCACAAACGTTTCGGGCTCACTTTGATGACGGCTCAAAGCGGAGCTGAAACGTTCGTAATCACGGTACCACACATTGTACTCATGAGGTTTTATCAAAGACACTTCGTTTTAATGATTTGCACTAACTGCGTTTTGACTCTTACAAACTTATTTCTAGAATTTGATTGTTATTTTATATTTGAGAATCCTTAGATTTTAATCGCTTTTTTTTTAATCTCAAGCTTTTTTTTCTTATATAGGATTTGATGGAAATATTTTAATAGTAAACTCGGACATAAGCGTTAAAAATTATTCTAGAAACAGTTTCCATGTTCTTGGACAAAATCTTATAAATAATGTTATTAAATGATTAAGAGCCGATTGTTCCCCATCTTTAGATAAACTGTACGATAATTTATCTATCTATTGGATAAACAAAATAGTAAAAGAGTAAGAGCATAAAAGAGTAAAAGAGTAAGATAGTGAGCTGAAGTTTACCAAAAGGTGGAACAACCCAACCTAAAGGGAGAATATGTAAAAACAGAATTCGTGTCACTTTAATCCATCTATAGTACCAAAATTAGGAAAAAAACATAAAAGATATCTGCGATATTGTCAGAAACCATTTTATATGAAAAAAGATATTGCTAATTGCTTTGGAGTCTTGCCAAACGTTCGGCCACGAAGAATATTTTATGTTACATATGTTTTCTGTTACATATATTTGTTATAGGACATGTGCACACGTTTAAACAAGGACACTGTCATAATTAATAAATTAATTAAATTGGCTTAAATAGAGTTAAATTCAACTATATATATTCTACATATATGAATAACTAATAGAAAAGAAAAATAAATCTAATCGTGTTAAAAGTTGATACAAATATTAAAACCCAATGTAAACTGAATTTCCAAAAAACCTATTATTTTGGATAATAATATTTCGGTATAAAAACAAGAGATAAATATGAAATGATGTAGTGGGAAAAAAATATGGCATATTGTCCTTTATAACTGTATAAATTCATATAGTTAATTTGCATATTACTGGTGCATGTGTACGTCAGTGCATAAATTAACTAATGTTACGCAAGTTGTTTTTCGTGTATCTATCGGATATTCATTGCAGTATGCAGTATATCGCGTTATATATGTCGTCACATTGAATTAAATCCATTACGCGTACTTAATTATTTTATTAGCATGGCGGTCACAGTAAATGAGATTTGCGAGAGATACTTTCCTGTATTTCTATATCGTTGAGCGTTCTGTTAGCAGAAAATACATAAAAACAAACTTCTTTTATTTAAAAAGAAGAATCATAATATTTTGTCGCAAACATTATGAATATTCATTTCGGTTCTTATTAGCGGCTCGTTGCGCTGTGAATCAACCAACGTGAAAATACGTTGCCACATGATGCAAAGTAAGAAAAACGGGTCCATGTTACTGCCAAAGACTATCCATAAAAATGCAAAAGAGGATGCATAACAGTTCCAATAAACACCCCCTTTAATGAGAAGCAGGTCTAACTTTAGGAAAGCGCCTGTTCGCCCTTAATCGTACTTTGTGGAAAAGTTTTATAAAATTATGGAAAAGTTTACGCTCGTAATTATCACCTAGGGACTATAGCGTCGTCACTAGCAATCCAATAAATTTATAACCTCTTTAACTAAGTCATGGTCACAAATCTTTTAAAATCAAGTAATATCGATAAACGAAATATCGCGTAGAAATACGAGTGTATAGAACTTAATTGCTTAAAAAAAAGTTCTATTGCAAAGAAATATTGGGTTAGGGTAAAAGTTCGTAACGCTACTTTATTTGTATCAAATATACATATTTTTAAAAAACTTTGGCATTTATACATAGAGAAAAGGCCCCTATTATGAGATACCGAGTTCATTTTGGGTAAATGCTAGAAGTTTATAGGCAGAATTTTAAAAAATAATAAATCATTTTGAAGAGAATTTAATAAGCTTTACGATAACGTTACATAAAATTTAATTCAAATTCCATTTTTTTGAAAATTAAAGAAATGTAAAAAGTGAACAAATCGCAAAGACAAAAAATTGTGCTCGTAATATGAGATGCCCCGAGAAATCGATAGTAAAACGCAAAGTATATCAGTATTGCAATTAAAAAACTTTATTTAATGTTTCTAAAATACAAACAAACACAGCCAGCACGAAAAATGAGCATGCGATAGATTATACCCAGAACTCATTTTCAGGTAGTTCGAATCAAGCATCGGAGATATAGGCACTCGACGTTTATTCCAGTTGTCTTTTTTATTATTGTACAATAACATTTATACTTTAGCAACGATTTTCACTATAACATAGGAGCATGGGTTATTTCATATTAGGAATACTCTGGGTATCTCATATTACGATTTCTACGCCTTATGGTTTTACAATCATCAAATCTAACTTCTGTAATTAAACAATTCAACATATCCCGTATTTTTCTATTAGTACGAACCTTACTCTGTCACTACATGAAGAATTTATTGTCAAATATTTATTTATTAAATAATAAACAAGATTTAAATGTTCATCTCAATGAAACTTGAAGACATCCAAATTCTAAAATCTTGTTTTACAATGACTACAGGCATGATCTAATAATGAATTTTCTACTAAATAGTATTCAATCCAAAAGCAATAAATTCATGGTGGAACCAATAAATAGCGTTTATTAGTGTAATACGCCGCTATCTCATAATAGGAGGCTTTCCTCTATCGATAGAACAAAGTTTCAACTTTAAGAATCTGCTGTTTTTTTAATTACGATACCGTGATTTTTAATCATTAGGAGTTATGAGCAATTAAAGTCAAAATACTCGTTTTATTTAATCGGTGGTAACTAAATAACAAAAAATCTTATCAATATTTAAAAAAACGATTTCGTAGGGAAAATTTTAAGTTTTTATATCAGAAAGTTAAAAATTTTTGCAAGTTTTTTTGAACACGTGATAGGTTTACGAAATGAGAAGAAAATTTCCCATTTTTTCTAGCTCGTAGTTTACTATATGTAAAGATTACCAATCTCACAAAAACTCAAGACATAGTAATCTTTCGAAAGTAGAAATTTTAACCTTTAAAATTTTCTTTTCCTAAATTTAAATTTCGTTCGTTGTTAACAAAGTTACAGTTGCTTGAATTTTGAAGTTCGTAACGCTACGAATTTTTTTTTCAACAATACATATAAAGTAAAACAAGAAGGAGAAACATTCGTAAAATCACAGCCGACAATTTGTATCTTTCTTTTATTACCTTACTTTTAGCTGGGAATCGGTAAATTTAGTGCGTCAGATTTATTTTCATTTTTCATGGAAAATCTTATATTTGAACGTAATATGGAATATGATCGTGGAAAATAGGAACAACTTAAAAGTTACATCACGCAGATGGAAACTAATAGGAAAAACTTCGTGAAACACGCAGTATTTATTTATAACATATTCTGTATACAGTCACCTCTGTTTTGCTGCACAGCCGCAGTGTTTTCACGCGATGCATATACAACCCACTCTATGCAGCAGCCATGAAGAAGTCATCCCGTAAGTTTCATAAAAGTTTACGGTACATACAAACTTTTGATCAGAGAATCGATACATGCATATCGTCTTTATTTTGCTCTTGTTTAATGTTGAAGATAAACGATTATTAAAGTTCAATTACAAATTCTATTTTGTCATTCGTTTTCATGTAATTTATTTCATAATATTTTATATTATCATAATAATTGGAACAAAAATCCGTGGCGTTACTTCAAAATTCAAACAGCTGTACCTTTGTTAAAAATGAATAAAATTTAAATTTATACCAAAAGGATTTTAAAACTTAAAATCTCTATACAATCTCTATCTTATTTCGAAAGATTACTTTTGAGTTTCTGTGAGTCTGATAATATTTATATATATACATATAGAAAACTACGAGCTAGATAAAATGAAAAATTTTCTTCTCATTTTGTGGGCCTGTCATGTGTCCAAAAAAAAACTTGTAAAAATTTTCGATTTTCTGATGTGAAAGCTTTAAAATTTCCATACAAAATCTTTTGTTTAAATGTTCCTATACATGAAAAGAATTTTTTCTTAGAATTTATCCTGAAAATATGGTAGTCCTGGGACGACATCGTATTTCGAGGAATTTTTTATGTAATTCTCTCTCATTTACTTATAAAACTACAATAAAGTATAAAATAAGTTTGATTAATTTTACTGAAGTGCACATGGTAAAAATCTTAAAGTATTGCATACAGTACCACAACTATCATATTTTCAGGGTAAATTTTAAGAAAAAATTCTTATAAGATTTTTTGTCGTTGAGTTATGGCGGATAAAAATAAATGAGCATGTTGACTTTGATTGCTCGTAACTCGAATCTGTTACCCTATTTGTTGCTAAATTTTTTTAAAACATGGAGACATGATACGAATAAAGCAGCGTTATAAATTTTTGTCCTAAGCCAATATTTTATATTATAATAATATTTCATATTATTCATGTTATGTGTAGGAGAGATTAGGCATATCACATTTATTCAAATAGCCTGTAATATTTTTCAAGATGTTAATGAATGAAATATATCCAACTCCGCTACAGATACGAATATTATCCACTTGTACAACTTTTTCTTTAAATCTTTCAAGTATTGTGCAGAAGGCCGAGTAATAATATCGACATTCCGGCGGCGTTATTTCGGAAAGAAAATAACAAAAAGCCATGACCGGAATAGAATTTTGAAATATGGGGCCTATTTTATCGCGGACACTGATATAAAAAAAGGAGTACCACAGTGTCTCCCTTGTTGCCATGAAATATTTGCCGCCGTGGATTCAGCGTGTACGGCCGATAAAACAAAATCCGATTAAATGCTTTGTTTTCGTCACGCTTTTTTCCGCGCTACGACGCCCGTGTCCTAATTGATTTGCCGAGTAATGGATCAGCCCGCACGTATCACTATTACGAACGAGCATCGGGGCGTCGACCAATGATACATACCATTGTATACAATGTGCAATACATTTCTCTTTATATTTATCGATGTCTTTAATAACGTATTAACTCGAAATCCCCATTATTAAGCTAACAAAAGAAATGTTCGATTTCGAATTTTATCACTCTCTTCTAAAGATAAAGATAGTTGAGTCTATAAAGCTTAATGATCCAATATTTCTATAAACATTTTCGATATTATCGGAATATTGTAAAACTGTAACTACTATGAGTGACATTAAATTATTAAAAGTAATATCAGATATTAATACTAATATAATATTGATATTAATACTAATACCAATATTAGTATTAATATTAATTAATATCAGAAACCGTCAATTGTGATTACATTAATTAATCCTTTTGCAATTCCTTTCCACGAAATTAAATGTATTATTTCTAAATTTATTACATTAATATCTTATACGGGTTGAGTGCAAGCAGATGGTAGTACATATATCTCTGTCTACAATCATATATTT